TCCCTCCTGAAACCCATCTGTCAATTCTACCCCAGAACTCATCACTCTCTTGCTGTCTTCATACAGGTCCAGCTTCCCCCCTGACCTGCACTATATTACTAAAAGTATTCACTCACCCATCCAAATAAATCAATTCAGTTGTTCCAATTACTTACATGGCCACAGGCGTAAGAAAGCAGGCACCCAGGCATGCAGACAAAGATGTGTAAAAAAGTGGGTCGCTCTCAGGAACTCAGTGTATTCCAGAATGGTACCATGATAGGATGCCACCTGTGCAACAAGTCTAGTCATGACGTTTTCTTGCTACTAAACATTCCACAGTCATCTATTGTAACCAAGTGGAAGCAGTCCTCATAACTTCATGTGGCCTTCAAATTAGCTCAAGAAGACTGCACAGAGAGCTTCATGGATTGGGTTTCCATGACCAAGCAACTACATTCAAGCCTTACATTGCCAAGTGCAATGCAAAGCCTCAGATGTAGTGGTGTAAAACATGGTGCCACTAGACTTAAGAATAGAGATGTGTTGGGTTTTTTTTTATAAATCACACTTCTCAGTCTGGCAATTCAACAGATCAGTCTGAGTTTGGTGGTTGCCAGGACAACAGTACTTGTCTGACTGCATTGTGCCAAGTGAAAAGTGGAGGTGGGATGGTCCCAACTTTCTGGAAACAGTTTCAGGATGGCCCTTTCCCTGTTATAACATGACAATTGGAACAGAAAAAGGCCATCCATGTTTTGAAGAATTGTTGGTGTGGTAGACATTGACACCTCTGCACGGAGTCCTGCCGCACAACCTGACAGAATACTTTTGGTCTGACTCACAAATGTGCTTCTGGAAGAATAGTCAAATTCCCATAAACACACTTCTAAACCTTTTGGAAAGCACTCGGAAGCGCTGGAGCTGCTATAGCTGCAAAGGAAGCATGCATTCACATCATATTAAAAATGTGATGTCAGTCAAGTTCATGTGCTTATGAAGGCAGACGAGCAAATATTTTTGGCAATATAGTGAATTTGAACCCTTCTGGACTTCTAGCGATACTTTGCTGGTGGGTCCCACTCATGTCCTGCGAGTGGCAGCAAAGCACCACTGAGCGTTGGCGCGACACAGCAGAAGAAGTGTGAACACTTCAGTAGATTTACGGATGCAGGGAAATGGGGTAAGTGTTGGTTTATTTTTCACGCGTTTTATCAAAAATGACATAAAAAATCTCTTACTGATCGGTTATACATTTGTTCTTAATTTTAAATGGGGGACGATGCCTGTCATGACGTGCAATCCACCGCTATTTTGTCAGAGCTAATCGTGACAGCTGCTGTCCGCCTACACATAGCAGCATTTCTGTCACTACTAGCCACGTAGCGCCTAGCATTGTCTGTGGTGTTATTTTAGCTCGCTTATATTTGGGTCTAATTAAGATGCCTTTAACGGAGAGCCGGCCGAATGTCAAGTCAAACAAACATTACGCGGACCGCAAGGAGCTTTGCAGGCAGGGACTTCAGCTGGAGCCGCTAGCCGGTGACAAAAATAACCAGCTAATTAAATTTTCATTCATAGGAGCATCTTTAAGAGAAGCACTGCTGTTGCATCATCAGCTGGTAGTAAAAGACAAAAGCAGAGCGCCTTTTGAGTCTGTCCTACATTTCGCTCAGTTGCATGAGACGCATCAGATCTATTTTTGCATGCCCTCATGGTCCAAAAAATAAAATAAAAGAATAATCTGGGTGTTGGAAAGCTGTGGATTTTCAGGGAACTCAAACTGTCTTATGTGTGTAAACTTTGTATTTGTTGTTCAGTTCTCCACAGTACTTTATTATGTGTTGTTATTAGGTATTGTTCCTATGTGGAAGGTGCAGGGTGTTTTTTGTTTTTAATACTATGCTCTTTTCATATAGGTATGATCTGTAACTGAGATATGTACACTTACTGGACATTTTATTCGGCACAGCTTGCTAGTATTGGGTTGTTCCCCCTTTTACCTGGTATGGATTTAACCAGGTGCTGGAAAGATTCCTCCGAGATTTCCTTTAGGATGTGAGTCACATCCTAAAGGTGCTCTGTTGGACTCAGATCTGGCGACTGTGGAGGTCACTTGAGTACAGTGAACTCATTGTTGTGTTTAAGAAACCAGGTTGATGATCTGAGCTTGGTAACGTTGCATCTTATCCTGGCAGCCAACAAAAAGGGACAGACATGGTCAGAAACAATATAGGTATGAAAATTTAAATAAATAAATAATAATAACATTGAAGTTTGTTAAATGAGCCCATAGTTTCATTTATCAGACACACATTCGGGTGGTTTTTTTTCTGCTTTTCAAACATGAATTCATTTAAAATTAATTATCCTTTATTTTATGCCTTTATATTAAATTTTTCATCTCTCCAGTTTCATATGCACTGATTCATGTCCAATGAATATATTTTACCTTTAAAAGGCAATGTTGTCCACATTTGGAGACAGGATGGGGGAGGCGGTAGTGGGAATTTTACAGTTGGATTGTTTTAATTGTTTTTTTTTTTATTATCATTAAGAACTCCTTGGTTATGTTTTGTCTATAGAAATGCCCCAGTTAGGTTTGAGTTGCAATACAGTGGAAGCTGCTTTTAGAAAGCCCTCAGGACAGCTGACATGTGTCTTCTAAAGAATCTAAATAAGACACAAAATATGCTTCCTATTAAAATACATCAGTGTCAAAGTCTGTCACCAAAAATAAATAAGTAAATAAAATAAAAATTTGTGTCCATGAACATGCATTAGATTGTGTGTGTGTGATTACTTCACGTTTGCTCAGATAAGCAGTATATGATGAACATTTTATTTCCTTTACTCCAGTCTGCCTGAATCTTGCTGACCTTTAATGCTGACTGGCCCCTCCAGCCATCTAACAACATGCAAGGATTCTACTCCAAGCTCGACTCCTCCCCTTCTTCGTCCCCCTTGTTGGGACCTGGCCTCAGGGGAGATGGTGCTCCCGTACCTCTCAGCCTGGCTCTGGAGACGGAGAGAGCTCAGGCCCTCCTGCAGACTTTCAGTTCCGCCTCCCTGCTGGCGTCGGCAGGACTCGGGATGTTCTGTGTGGTGGCAGACCACGCCCTCCAGCTGTCTGTCATACAGCAACACTTGTGGCTGCGTGCTGTCTTGGACAACGCCACGCACGGATTGGTGGGGCTGTGGTCATGGGCGGTTGTTATTGGACTGAGGAAAAAGAGCGATTTATATGAGGTGTTACTCGCAGGGCTCCTGGCATCAATCATAGACCTGGACCACTTCTATATGGCTGGATCATTATCACTCAAGGTAAGACTTTCGCCATAGAGGGTTAATCTGAATGCTTAATAAGCGTACAAATGATAGGGTACAAAGTATTCCCTAAGTCCTTCACCTTTCTCTTGGAGAGCTAATTATTTAGTGATTAAGTCTTAAATGCACCCATATATGTGCCATTATAGTAGCTTACAGGACACAATGTTCATTATAACCTTCCCACTGAGAGAAAACACTGAAACAACCCATGCAGAAAATTTTAATTTCACAGACTTGTTTTTATTTTTAAGCCTCATAACTTGCTATTTATCAGGGATTGTAGGTGTTTGTGTTTGGCAGCAGCCATGTTTTCCTTGTAAATGTATTCAGTTTCTTTGTCAGATAATCCACGGGGATGCTAAATCAAACGAGCGAGCCAGGAGAACCAATGCTGGAGTGCAAATGGTTTCTACTCCAAATGGCCACTGAATATTAATAAGTTTGGATCCTTATGAGAAAGATTTTTTGGGGGGTATTTTGCCTTTGTTACATAACAACAGTTAGACACAGAAGAAATGATGGGAAAGTAAGTGGCACGCAGTAACAGGCTTGAGGCAGAATTCAATCTGGGCTTTTCTGATATGGATTTTATGCCGGGAACACAGCACAATCCACAGGGTGAGCTATGATGACGCACCAAGAAAAATACTACTTCATTTTATATGTATGTTAAAAAATGAATGTCATCCATTACATCATTGAAATAATGATGTAGTCTGGCTTGCTACACAGCCAGACTGTGTAGCAATGAATCAAAAAATTTAAATTGTATCTTTAGACACTTTCACTGGCAGAAACACAACATTGGTTCTCATTTCTTTAGTTGAATCTACAAAAAAAAAGTTAGTAACTTCTTTTATTGTGTTACTGATAGAGAACACAGACAATAGATAACAGTTTAATTGACAGGCATAAAACTGTATGTCAGCACCAACAAAGTGATTCTCAAAGAGCAATTAGCTAAACACTTGGTATATCTTAGCATGGTGTGCAGTGTGAAAAAACTGAACAGCATCTATAAGTCATATAAATACAAAAAGTTCCAGCAAAGATCTAAGAGATGCATCTGACCTGTCAGTTGATCCATCTACATATACATATGTAAGTATGTATACATATGCATACATACATACATTTAGAGATGTACCTCATACACATATGTGTGTGTGCGTGTGCTGGAGCATGACTCATGACAGGATCTCCACAGTACAGAACACTGTTGACATGGATTGACATGTTTCCAAAGGACATACGTGGTGCTAACGCCGTCTCTCACTGCTCTTCCAGGCTGCTGTCTCACTCCCTCAGCGTCCACCGCTGCACTGTTCCTCTCTCATTCCTATCATCTGTCTCACTCTCCGCTTCCTCATGTGGCTCGGGCGCCTCAAAGACGCTTGGTGCTCCTTGCCATGGATGCTTTTCATTTCCATGGTGACACACCACGTCCGGGATGCAGTGCGCCACGGCCTGTGGGTGTGCCCATTCGGCAACACGGCGCCGATCCCATACTGGTTATACATCAGCACCACGGCGACGCTCCCTCACCTGTGTTCAGTGCTCATGTACCTGACGGGAACCAGAGATGTGATATTCACTAAACACGGGGTGGCCATCGATGTTTAAGGCATCACCAACTTTGGATCACCTTTGGATAAAAATGTTCTTAGCTATTTAAAATAATTATCAAATACCTTTCAATTCTGAAGAACACGTATATATGGCTATGAAGACATTTTTCAGTTCATTTGACATAAATAATGAAAACTTTTTGTTTTCTTTTCTCACAAAAGAATGAGAAAGCTCATTATATTATAATGAAAAAAGTAAACGTATGACTTTTCATTGGTGGAGATGGCTGTAAAATACTAAATTAGCTTTTTGAAATGGGAACATCCCAATATAAGTGCCAATCACTGTTTTTGTTTGTTTGTTTATTTTCCTTTTCATGGCATGGATTTGTATCAGAATCCTCTTCAATAACCTGGGGACTAAATGTAAAGATGTGAACCCTCTTTTTACTCATATCTTTTTTACCAGGGCTTGCCCAACTTTTTGCTCACCTACACAACACCTCACAGACTTAAACCCCGATGGAGGTTAATCACTTCTACTGTCACTATCCAGCCTCATTCAAAGGGCGCTGAAGGAAACGTCAACCAAAGGCAAAATCAACTCCAGGCTCTGCGAGACTTCTTTCAGTTTCACTCTTAGTGCACCTCAAAACTGTTTTTCTTTAGTGTACGTTAAAAATCTGCCCACATACGGTTCTTTATTTCCCATGTCTATTACCAGCAGCTAAACAAAATGTTGTCTTTGGCTGTTAATGCTTGTAATATCCAGCATGTCAACACACTGCAACTTTCATTTTCCTGCCTGGAGAAGCCTTAATGTTCACTCAGTCTACTCAGTCAGTAACTTTTCCTGTAATGGTCAGTTTTTAGAAATCAGTTTGCAGGGTAAGTTGAGCCAGCCACAGAAATGGATAACATCAAGTCTCCTTATTCCAAAGGTGAAACTTTGCCAACAGTGAGTTATATGTGGCTCAGAGCCTTCTTTACTGTGCACGTCAATCATCACAGGAAGGGAATGAATCCCCTTTTAAGACATGCTGTAGTAAAGATGCTCAGTTAGGTTTTGGCTTCCTGCTGTTATGTATTTCTTTGACGGCTTCAAGCTCGGCCCTCGTCGTTTGAGCAAAAACTGTGACGGACGAGTAAAGTCGGTGTGATTTGGTGTCTTGACTGACATCTTGTTTTTACACTAAACATGAGCAGAAAAGAGGACAGCATGGAGTGAAACTTGAAAACAAGTTGAGTTTTGATTTAGATCATCAAAATGGAAGAAAGGGGACATGCTGTGTTAATTATCTGTGCATGGTTCCAGCATTTTTCCTCCCATAATGCTGCCATATTTATATGGCTAACAGTGTGAGGTACAGTCTGTATCAGGGGTGTCCAACTCCAGGCCTCAAGGGCCGGTGTCCTGCAGGTTTTAGATATCACTCTGGGTCAACACACCTGACTCAAATGATTAGTTCATTACCAGGCCTCTGGAGAACTCCAAGACATGTTGAGGAGGTCATTTAGCCATTTAAATCAGCTGTGTTGGATCAAGGACACATCTAAATCCTGCAGGACACCGGCCCTTGAGGCCTGGAGTTGGACACCCCTGGTCTATATGCTGAAATTTAGCTTTTCAGCGGTGAAAACAGGGTTTGCAGGACTGTTTGTTTTCACTCATTATAATCACTTTGCTGCATTATCAGCAGCAAAGATATACCACATATAGAGTTTTTTGTCATTACACTGTTTTTAGATGTAGACCAAATACATAAACACTCATTAACAGTATTATACACTGGTTTAAATGATGCTTAGTAATGTTGTATTATAGTGGGTTTAGAAATGGGTATTTGAATATAAGCAACATGCTTTCAGTATAAGAGAAGGTGGACTTGAATTGTCTGTTTCCAGATGAAAAACAGGGATACATTTTTGTAAAGCTGGTGCTTGGTGATTAAGGTTGTAGTTGTGCCTGTTGTCCACTAGGTGGCTACTGTAGTTTCACTTTTGATGATCTTTATTTATTTATTTATTTATTTATTTATTTCCATTAGTAAGTGGAGGTAAGTCAGGAATATTTAGTTGTGATTGTGAAATAAAATAATGGATGAGGGGGAGAAAGTTTGAAAAGTGCTCATTGTTTGGGGGGAGAAAAACCAACAAACTTGCTGGTACATAATAGTTTGAAGTGCTCTTTATTTGATTTATTACAGGCTTGTCTGTTTTGTTGCTACTTTCTTGGAAGGGTCACAGAACGGGTCGGAAACAACTGTTTGAGTAACAGAAGTGTTGAGTAACACTGGAGTTTTAAATAAAACCCAACCAACATAGAAGACAAAGGCATTGTAAAGCTTTGCTTATGACTACCAGGATGCGGAAAAACAGCTTTAACAGTGGCTAACAGAGCACCGGCCTCCACTTTACACCTATTTAACTTGAAGTTTAGTGCTTATGGAAGGAATTTACATGCTGGCTGTTGTCCCACTTTAACTGCCAGTGTCATTTTCTCCTTTAGGTCTACCATATGACTTTAAGTGTTGGATTTTGCACTATTTAAGTTTTGTGCTTTAAAATAATGTTTTGTATTTTTGGACAAATATGTTTTTGTTTAATAGTAAAGTATATAGTAACAAGATAGTTTTAATGTAGTGTTATTTTATCTCAATAAAATGTATCCTGTGTATATTTGCTGTGTTTTTGTATAATGACTTGCATCTTTCTGAAGTTCTCTAAGGGCTCTGAAAGTTTTTCATCACGGGGCAAGGTCTGGTTATTTGCTCAAAAATAAAGAAATGAGGGGGGTGGGCATGCTTTCAGCTGTTCCCCTGTTTTCCAGGGGATTGCAGAGGATCCACGTGTTTGATTTGGCACTGATTTGACATCCTGACACAATCCTCCTATTTTTCTGGGCTTTCGTCCAGCAGTAGGAGTACACTAGCTCAGGCCTCCTCCGAGATCTTTTTGTGTGAAAGGCAAATGTGCAAACTGCCAGACCAGGGGCCATATTTAGGTGGTTTTTGTGTCTTACCCTTTCACCACCAGGAGGCAGCATTTTACCAGAAAAGTTTTAGTGAAGTGTCCCAGAAAAACCAGATAAATGCAGCATTTGATCTAATAAGACTTTGGTTCAGTGGTTAGTACTGTCAACTCAGAGCAAGGAGATTCTGGGTTCAAACCTCACAAAGGAAATTTGGTTCAAAACTGCTTGTGAATGTTTGTATCTGTGAAGGATTGTTGACTTTTTCAGGGCCCTTCTCCAGCATAAGTTACTGTAGTGACATACCCTGATAAGAAACAAACCACCTTCATAGTCTAAAAAAAGCCAAAGCCAAGGTTAACCCTGACATTACCGGAGACAAAATCCTGCTTCACAATGCATGCCTGGTGGGATAAATGTTCTAAGATCCCTCGTTAAGCACAGTTGAGTGCACAGCTATGAAACACTAAGCATATACAGTAATTGTCTGGTCTGAGATACATTAACCAAAAGGCTTACTTGGCAAAGCTCACTGTTGGTAACATAAGACAGTTACCTCCATTTATAAACTAACGATGGCAAACACGAGCAATAACAGCTTTTATCTTTCTAAGTGGTATTGTCTTAAACTGACCTATAGGGTCAGTACAAAGCCCTTGTGCTAATGTGCTAATGCAATACTGTGTGTATTCCACTCACAGTACGTTTATACTTGATGATTTACACTGCTCAAACAGAAGCACAGATTGGAAAATGAATCTGTGCATTTTTTTCCTTTTATCACCAAGATTATAGCTCTTTATTTGGCTGAGAGTGTCACGCCCGACTGCACCGAGTACTATAAGATTTAAATATCAAAGGTTTCCGAGCTATAATGTACGGCTGTTATGGTAGGCATAAACAGAAGCACTGAGAGCCACAATGAAGACTTGTCTTATTTGCACCACAAACATTGCCTTTTATGTTATATTTCCTTACACGGTGTAGAGATATTCATCACCCTTCTTTGACTTTATTAGTAGCACTACCTGGTGCCTTTGTCTGGCTATGACAAAGTATCTTTGCGCTAAACCCCCCTGCACCACAAATAAGACTGTTGTCAAAGTGTGATCAGAATATCGGGGTTATTTCCTTCTAATTATTAATCTTAAAATTCCTTGTCACAAAGACAAGAAAAGGTAGCTTAAGCATTTAGACGTCAGAAACTGCCTCAAAGAGAAAAGGCCTTAAGGGGAAATTCTTTCAGCTTTTACACAATGCAAAGGACCAAACAATAACAAACATCTTTTGTTTTTGAGTAACTCTAGACAATTGGATTTTGTTTTCCACCAAACAACCAAAGAATAAACTGTGATACACAAGGAAGTAGATAAACTTTATAAAACAAATGCACAGCTGTACTGAAAAGATAATGGAAACTACGGACAAAAGGTTAGTGAACCATAACATTGAATTTTCATGGGAAACAAAAGAGAAAAAAAAGGAATAGAAGTGTGATAAAATAGTTTTTTTTTTAATTTCACAGACACCAGGACAGGAAGGAAGAAAAAAAAAAAAACAGCTTATGGTGATATTTGTTGAACACAAGGAAACAAAAATGACTATGTACATCTAAGAATGGATGCCTGAGTTTCATCTGAGTTGCAAGAACTAAAAATCAACAGGCTCCTCTAACTGTCACATATCGCAGAGGAACATAGACTGTAAATGAAGTTTGTCCACACAGAAAAAAACAAAACAAATAACAAAAACACCAAGAAAGACACAGAAAGAACTCCATAGGCATACACTTACAGAAAACATGTCACATTGAACCCTTAAAAACAAAATAGACAGGGTGAACAACAGTCACGGATATAACAATAATAATGATAATAATAATAATAGTAATAGTAAAAACACATCTTATTTATAGGCGCCTTTTAAAACATATGGCACTGTGCCCGGAAAATTGAATCTGATGGATGGTTTATACAATTGATCAAACTTTACTTTGAATATTTATCATAAAAATATATTTAAAACAGGAATTTCACTTTTACATTACTGTGTAGATTGGAAAAAATATTAACTTTATTACCTGTAAATCCAGCAATTATGGCAAAGTGGCTTCTATGTTATATTTACCATCTTTTTTAAATTCCTAATTTGGCCTTATAAAACTGAATATTTAGTATAAAAGTCACACAGAGAGCAGGTAGTGGGTTCACTCTTGATTAAAGTTTTTTTTTTTTGACTGGACCTTGGAAGGACAAGACAAGCATAAGGAAAAGAATTTACTATACAAAGATTCAGCTACAAAGATTGTTTTAAATGACAAAAAGATGACATTCATTGCACCAATAGTAATATTTAAAATAAAAAAAAACAGAAGAAATTAAAATCAAATTTGTGTGCACATTCTAGTACAAAAGCTCCAAATGCATCCTTTTATATCTCACATCCATCAGAGCCCCGAATTTACTGGAACACAATTTAAAAAGGAAGTAAAGGGCGGGTTCTCAAATTGACTCTGTGAATAATTTTGAAAATATTTCACTGTCTTTGTGAATGTTGCCACCAGAATGGAGGAAGGAGAGTGTCAGTGAAAAGAAAACATCCATTTGTGGTTCTATTTAAAAAAAAAAAAAGGAATTAAACATTGGATAAGGACTAACTCAGTAAACACGTTGTCCATACAGTAATCGTACAGTAACACAGCTTCATATAACTGGGGGGAAAAAACACACATACACAATGCTGGGAAGACTCACAAGAAATGGCTTAGCTCAGGCTATTAATCCTATTGAAATCTCCCTTCATTGACACTGTATTCACTTCCAATTCGTCCAATCAGTTTTAGTATTGACCTAGAGTGATTGACAGGGAGCATGTAATGTATTTACCGATGTAATATTTGTGTAGAAGGACAGATTTATTAAAAGGAAATGTCCTTAACACAAGACTGAGCTAAACCATGTCTGTCAACCTACCCCAAAAATTATGTTTTTTCCTTACATATAAACATCACATATAACATAGGTATGCATTTTTTAAAGTTTGATATACAATAATATACAAAAAAGCTTCAACTGGATCCATGCATAATATGTGGAGCTAGCTTGAGAGACAATACAGTTGCCAAACTGGGAAAAACAAAAAAAAGTTTGACTTAGATGCAGCTTGTGTTTCTGAAATGACAGCCAGCAAAAGAAACTACACAGCCTTAGATGAGCAGAACGTAACAACCAAACCAGCAGAAAGAAAGAAAGAAAAATTGCTTCTCAAGCAGAAGAGCCTCTCGATTCCATCTGTGGTGCAAAGCTAGCAGGACACAAGGTTTATAGGCACAGGTGTGAAAAGCAGGACTAAAGCAGACAAGCTGTATCGGAGGTATTTTTAAGTGTTGGCCACCCAGAAATCGAGTGTTTTCTGTGAGGCGATGGGTTTTGAGACAGATGTACAGTGAGCGAGGGTTACTCTTGTCAG